CACCCCCAGCCTGTTCTGCTGGTTCTTTTCCACCTCCCTGCCTTGCCAGGGATGGAGCAGGCAAAATGATCTGCACCTTTATTAGCAGTGCAGACTGTCAGGAGAGCTCAGCTGGCCATAAACTATTTATTAGTGCTGGATTGCTGAGGTCACCCTTGGGGAGCTGGCTGGAAAAGCTCACATTCAAAGGTGAACAGAAAGGGTCTTGCTTAATCAATCAATAAACACCTTCAGTAAAAGCTAATTGCAATCAATTTATAATTATTACAAGCTATGAAGAACAGTTTTTAAGTAACTCCAAAAACTAACGCTGCAAATTAAAGGAGCAGCTTTAATTCTATAATTGAAGTTCTATAAATGAGTTTCAGCATTGGTAACAATTTAATTAAATGTATCCAAAACCAGCAAAACACAGACTGGGAACAGGCAGGTTTGCTTTGGGTTGTGGGTATGTTTTGGTTTTTTTATTGTTGTTGGTTTTTTCTTCCCTCCCTAGAATTAAGTTCTCAAAAAAAAAAAAAAATCTTGGCACAACAACCTACAGCAGCCTTTTCTCTGGGCTGGAGCAAATGTGATTCAGCTCTTCAAAAGTCACTCCAGCACTTAATGAACAACCTGAATTTTAACAACTCAAAAGCATCAAAGTGCCCCAAAGAGTGTTCACAATGAACTCACTGCAACCCTCTGGGCATTAATGGCCATTCCCAGAAATGGAATTTTAAAGCAGAAAAAAATAAGAAGAAAACCGGGGAGGGCTCCAAACACACAATTCTTACAGGAACTGCTGTTGGTTCACATTTTGCTGATGCCTGAATACTCCATCATAATTCAGAACAAGACAACTTTAATTACTAAAAATAGATTTAGAAGGTAGGTTAGAAAGTGCATCAAAACTGAGGGGTGGAAGGATGGAGTCAAGGTGTATTTTGTATTTTGCCAATGGAAAAGTGCCCTTAAAATGTATTTATCTCAAAGAATCACTGATGCAAACACCCCAAAATTCTGAAGAGCAGCAACCTACATGTTGAAAGAGTCATGATTCAGGTGTAACTCCAAACACTCAGCCATGTAATTAGCAGCAGGGTAATTAACCATGAGCTAATTTCCTCCCAAGGAAAGGGTGGGGCAGAATGAGCTCAGGCTTGAGAACAGAAAATACAAAAGCCATTAGACAAGTTGGGATTAGGCAAGAAACCGGGCTGTTATCTCTGCAGTGCTCCCACTTTTAAAGTGCATCTTCCTTGCAATTACAGGATTTCAGCTCCAGCAGCTGTAGAATAAACAGTGCAGGCTGCTACAAAAGAAAAGAAACAGTCTGATGAGCAGCCACTTCAAACAAACCACAGAGCTGGTCTGGCTTCTGGAGGGGAAATTGCAGCCACTGCTTCAGAACTCCACAATCCTGACGGCCACAAGGCTGCAGCTCTCCATTTCCTCAGCTTGGAGTTGTGTTTTCCCTTCAAATGTCAGCCCAGGCCTGGGGGTACAGGTTTGGTTTGTCCCTGTGACAGCAGCGCCCAGGCTGTGCCTCACCACCCCCATGTGACCACAACTGTGCTTTAAACCAAACCACATCTAAAAACTCTTTGTGCTGCTCCACTGGGAGTTCAGGCCACAGGAAAGAGAAGATTAGCTCAAACTGCTAAAATCTCCTCAGCAGCAGGCTCCTACACAGTATCTCCTGCCAAGCACACTCACCTGGACACAGATGGAAATTAAGTTGCCTAAAACCTCAGAGAAAAACTTGTAAACATTCCATCAACTCCATACCTGACTTGTTACAAGTGGCATTTTAACAGCACTTCAGGAGCAAGACTTCTAGGCCTAGTTTTAGATCACAAGTAGTTAATTATTAGGAAAAAAAAAAGCCCCACGTATAATTGGGGATTTCATGGCAAGGAAAGAAGGAGCTGAGAAAGGCTGTTCTATCTTAAATAACACCACAAAACAAAATTAAATACCTGAATCATGGACTATCTTCAAGCTTATACTCTGTTTGTTGTGCAAAGCAGTCTCAGGAATTGGTATAATTGGCTTCATACCCTATTCTCCCTTTCTACTGTGTGTTGTTCTGGGCTTTTTCTTGGTCAGCAAAACATTCCACTGAGCTACAATTCTCTTCCTAATCCTCCCTGCTGCAAAAAACACTTGTGTAACCATGTCCAGAAGGCCAGCACATCCAATTCCTGAGTGAAGCCCTGTTCCTGGAAAACACCTCACCCTTCTCCTCTGCTCTGGTTTGCTCATTGGCCTCAAAAAAGTGTTGGGTAACTGGAAAACCAAAAGCAGCTCAGTGCAGCTCCCAAAGTCCTGGTGTCAGGAATCAAAAGTAGTTTCAAATGAGCCCAAATAACAAAAGTATGGTAAGTCAATCATGGGTTTAAATCACAACCTCCACAAGGCCACCCTTTTCCCCCAAATTGTTCAGTGCTGCTAACTCCCAGCACTGGGCCCCACTCAGCCAAACGAAAAACAATTTAATTTTGCCTGTAAAACCTTCCCAGTCAATCCAGCAGCCCATCCCAGGCCCTGCCACAGAGCAGCAGGATTTCAGTCAGCAATGAGCCACCACTGGGAGAACTTCTTGGGTAATTCCAGCACATCATTCATCCCTCAGGATCTCACACCCTCTCTGAGCCACTCCCTGCTTCAAGGGAACAACCTGAACCCTACAGTGCTACCAGCAGCCACGAACACCCACAAAAGCATCCAAAAGGCACTGCTCAGCTTCTTAAGTGTTCTCCAAACTTCACCTGGCTTGACTTTAAAGGACTTTGATCCTCAGCTGTGCAGTGAGAAGCCAGGCAGGGACAATACTTACAGGAAAAAAGCCAAAAACTCATTGATCCGCAAGGAACTCATCAGGCAAACAGGCTGGGGTGGGAGACTATTGGTAAAGCTATCCGTGACACCTGCACCCTGTTACCTACAGGCACAGACCCACGGAATTAATTAAACACAGAGATAACAAAAATTAGCTTTAGGGGCTGCACATGGAGGAGGGCAAACACCCACAACAGCCCTCAAACCGCACGGCTCAGCATCTTCAAAATTCTCTAAACTTCCCCCGGCTGGAGCTTAGAGGACTTTAATCCTCAGCCGGGCAGCGGCAATACTTACAAAAAAAAAGCCAAAACCTCCTTGGCCCACAAGGAGCTCATGAGGAAAACAGGCTGGGGGGGCATGGTGGCAGAGCTGTCAGTGCCGCCTGCACCCCGCTAACGCCGGCACAGACCCATCGAATGAAAATAAACATGTACATCTAACACAAATGGGTTTTAGGCGCTGCACACGGAGGAGGGAGGCGGCTCGCCAAGTTTCCGCACATCCCGGTGTTTGTTTATCCCGGGGTTTATCCCGGGGTTTATCCCGATCGCTGCCGCCCTGCGGGGCCCAGGGTCCCCTCGCCCAGGCCCAGGGCGGCAGCGGGGCCGGCGTGAAGCCCCTCGGCGGGGCGGACAGCGAGCCCCGACCCTCAGCTCGAGCTATAACCGGGGGACACGGCCGCCCCGCTGCCCCCGACCCTCAGTTCGAGCTATAACCGGGGGACACGGCCGCCCCGCTGCCCCCGACCCCGCCGGGCCCTCACCCCGCGGCTCTCACCCGCTGCCCCGGGCGGCGGGGCCGGCCCG